TGATCCCAGCCCTCTCAGAGCTGCTGGTGGCGGGCTGGGATGGCAGGGCTGGATGTGGCCGTGCCACCAGCGTCTGACTGCCGGCTTTTCCTCCCCTCACTGCCGTTGGAAGGGCTCTTCTGCAACCGGACATTTGACATGTATGCCTGCTGGCCTGACGGGAGCCCCGGCACCGCCGTCAACGTCTCCTGCCCCTTCTACCTGCCCTGGTTTGAGAAAGGTGATGATGGAGCTGGAAGCCAGGGCTGAGCTGTGCCGGGGAGGGGGAGAGGCTTTCGGGGTTTCCCCTCCTGCCCACTGCCAGGGGAGAGGGAACCCCGAGCACACCAGGGGTAAGGGGACACGTGGGGCATGGAGCAGAGCCAGCTCGTGCCCCGATCACGCCTGCCCTGGAAGAGGGTCTTTGGGGCTGAGCAGAGTCTGACCCACTGTCCCAGGAGAGGGGTTTGGGGGAGCCTGAGGGGAATGCGCCGGTGCTTCGTGTCTGCAGTGAAACACGGGTTGGTGAGCCGCAGGTGCGGCACCGACGGGCAGTGGGTGACAGTGAACGGCAGCCAGCCCTGGCGGGACTACTCGCAGTGCGAGGAGGAGATGGAGTCCACCGCTGAGGAGGTGGGATGCCGCGGCCCAGCTGCTGGGCAGGGACGGGCAGGGGCCCCCCATCAAGGTGCTCTACACCGTGGGGTACTCGCTGTCACTCCTGACCCTCGTCTCCGCCCTGCTCATCCTCACTGTCTTCAGGTAGGAGAGCTGGGGGATGCGGTCTTGCCCCTCATCCTTCCCAGGCGGTGATGGCCGAGCCGAGGGGTCGCCCCGCCGCCCACCGGCCCCCCGACACTCTCGCTTTCGGCAGGAAGCTCCGCTGCACCAGGAACTACATCCACGCCAACCTCTTCGCCTCCTTCGGGCTGCGGGCAACCTCGGTGATGGTGAAGGACGCGCTGCTGGAGAAGCGCTGGGGCATGGAGGTGGTGCAGGTGGCCGACTGGGAGGCCCTGCTGAGCCACCAGGCAAGCGCTGCCCCACGGCGGGGCCTGGTCCTTGTGGGGCAGGGACCGGGGGGGGCCCCCCCCCCGGGAGGGGGACCCTCGCCCCGGGAAGGGGTATACAGCTGGGTGCTGATGCCCGGGCAGCCCCAGGCACCCGGTGGACAAGTTCTTGGGGTGCCCGTGCACCTGATGGGTGAACTCTGTGTCTGTGCAGCAACGTGCACCTGATGGATGAGGTCTTGGGGTGTCTGTGCTGCTCAAGCACCTGATGGATGAGGTCTTGGAGTGCCTATGCTGCCTGTGCACCCTCTGGGCATGCTCTTGGGGTGCCCATGCACCTGATGGATGAGCTCTTGGGGTGCCTGTGCAGCACCGTGCAGCCAGTGGGCAAGCTCTTGGGATACCTGCACAGCTGATGGATGAGCTCTTGGGGTGCCTGTGCAGCCCCAGGCACCTGAGGAATGGGTGTCTGTGCTGCTCATGCACCTGATGGATGAGGTCTTGGGGTGTCTATGCTGCCTGTGCACCCTCTGCGCAAGCTCTTGGGGTGCCCATGCCCCCTTGGGTGAGCTCTTGGAGTGCCTGTGCAGCAACGTGCACCCAGTGGGTGAGCTCTTGGGATACCTGTGCGCCTGATGGGTGAGCTCTTGGGGTGCCTGTGCAGCACCATGCACCTGAGGAATGAGTTCTTGGGGTGTCTGTGCTGCCTGTGCACCCTCCGGGCAAGCTCTTGGGGTGCTCATGCACCTGATGGATGAGCTCTTGGGGTGCCTGTACAGCCCCAGGCACCTGAGAAATGATTTCTTGGGGTGTCTGTGCTGCTCATGCACCTGATGGGTGAGCTCTTGGGGTGCCTGTGCAGCCCCAGCAGCCGGTGGGTGAGCTCTGGGGGAG